TTGCTTAAATGGGTAAGCTTGCATACTGAGTCTTTATGCAGCCTGGTAACGACTGATGTGGCCATGCCACTATGGGTGTCCCTCCCTTTGTCAGGGGTCTGGGTCAGCTTAATGCCGCGGTTCCACCACTCTGACCTTAAAAATCCCAAGTTCTGGATACCTGGAGCCTGGTCTAGGTCCTTGAACACTTGGGTGTGGTCTCAGGTGTCTGGAATAAAGAGTTTGAGTGGGCTATAAACTGTTTGAATGCTAATCTCTAGTGGGCCACCCCATAACTATTTTATCAAGTGATACAGTTGTGGTTGTGAACATTAATGTTTACTATGCAACCTTTTACCCCACCCCCCCAATAATTTTCCATCTGAAATGTATGCACTCGAGATTTACGTGCAACATTCAGAAATGTATCTTCCTGTATAACATTAGATACTAATGTTATACCTTAGGTCCAAGCAAACACTACTATATGGGTGCTGTGAGTGGCTACCAGCCCCCACTTTTTATAGTTAGAACACTCACTATAGATGAAAACAAAATTGGAAAGCACCTTTTGAATAATTATGCTCACTGACCTAGATCGGAAAAAAGTCTCCATGGTTCAAGAAAAGCACTCTGCCCACGCACACGTGGCCAATCTGTTTTTTTTTTTTTTTTTAATTTCAGGATTTGTTGATATTCCGTGCTGGGACTGTGGACTTCTTTCTTGCAGGGTGGGTGGGAATGCCTAGGCCCTGCTCACAGGGCTCTTCACAGAGCACCGCACTAGTTTCTGTGGGTAAGAATAGTTTTCTTGCAGTCTTCCTTTCCCTTGCTCAAAGGGTACCTTGAAAAACGACTCTGCAAGTGTGTGAGCTGGGTGTGAACGAGTCTCATATCCCGAAGAGTAAAGTGAAATGCTCAGAGAAAGAGAGACATTTACCCCCCCTTTTTTTTTCTCTCCTTCGTGTTTGTCCTTTTGCAGGTGTCGGCACCTTTCGTGTTTGTTCTATGGAAAGTTTCAGGTGCTTTCTGAAGAATCTCTTTCCCATGTGCCGGTCTCCCACTGCTCAACCAGTCCTGCACAGCTGTCAATCAGACAGTAAGCTCCGGATGGCGTAGGGAGAGGAGACAGTATCAAAGGACCCCCAGGTGTGTAAGACTGGACTGAAGAAGGAATGAAGGAATGGGGAAGGGCTCAAGTGACTGGAAATAGGACCTGGAATTGATTTTGCCGCATTCTATTTCATTTGAATTGATTCTAGAGAATTCCACTGAGGATCATCTCAGGATTATCCTATTGTTGGTATTAGAAGAGTCTCTACAGCAGCCTCAATGGCAACTAAAAATAACATTTTATTTGGCTTTGCATGCGAGTGGTGCTTGCTGTCCCTCTTTCATTCACATTGCTGGTAGTGCCTTCATACCTATAATACAGGTTTTCATTATCTAGGGCTTGGTTGGCTATAGGCCTGGGTACTGGTTTCTGGATTTCTTATCACTGTGGTGAGTGCTTTTCCGCTTGATTTGTTTTCTCTCTGGATTTTTCAAAGAGTATGATGTCTGTGCATTGCCTAGTAGATTTTCATTGGACCTGTTAGATGTGGCCAGGGAGAGTACAGCTACAATGTGTTTCTGCCTATTGTGAGCTGACACTTAAGAATGGGGAATGCAGATAGGCCAGGAATGCGGATAGGCCAGGATTCTGAGAGGATCTTCAGGAGGGAGTAGTTCCAGGGTTCAACAAGGATGTGTTTCTTTCCTCTCCTTATAGTGGGGGTTACAGTGGAGAGGCATCACCACCGAGGGTCTGCTTTAGCACAGAGAGTGAGAGCCTGGGGTTGGATCTAGAGTCCTGTCTCTGAAAGTGTGGGTATTGACCCCTTTCGGGGTCGAATGGCCCTTTCACAGGGGTTACACGTCAGATATCCTGCATATCAGAAATTTAAATGATACTATGTAACAGCAATGAAATCATTTTATAGTCTGGGGTCACCACAGTGTGAGGGGTCACAGCATTGGGAACTTGGAGAACCGCTGATCTAGATGAACAGAAAGAGAAAGGCA